AATGAAAAGTCTTTCTCTGGTACCGTACTCTCTCTCTCATTTTAATCCTCTCTCTCTCTCTAAGTTATCATTTTGTTTTCACTGTACTCTCTCTCTCTCTCTTTAACCTCTTTCTTCCATCTAGTATGTTCTCTCTCTACAATTGTTCCTTCTACCTACCCATTATCCCTTGCCATGGCTGAAATGTTCAGGTTTTCTATTGAAAACCTCGTAAGTCGCCAGCCTCCTCTATCTGCTCAAGATTTCTTGAGACAGCCTAACTATCTCTCATATGTGATAGACAGTTGAAAACCTCATGTGCTACAACCCATGTCATTCTTACGAATCCAAAGCTTTACTTCCTCTCAGAACCATGGTGCTCTCACTGCTCTTCTATCTCTAGCCGAATTTTATCGAAGTTCCCTCTCAAATATTATATGTAAGTGATCGCATTCTTTTGAAAAATAGTCAGTTTTCAATAAAATAGTGATATTTCTATCCAACATCTTTATTTTATTAGTTTTATGTGTAAGTGACATCATCTTCCTGAAAAATAGTATGTTTTTAATAAATAGTGATATTTCCGTCCAGGATCTTTATTTTATAAGTTTTGTGTGTAAGTGACCTCATTGTTTTGAAAAATAATCTTTTTAGTAAAATTCTGATATTTTATCTATTGTTAGGTATTTTAAATGTTGTAACTTCTTAGAAATAAATTTAATTTTCCTGTCTATTGTTCAGAATTTTAAATACTGTAAATTATTAGAAATAAATATGATATTTCTGCCTTTTGTAAAATTATGAGATTTCCTTCTACTGTTTTTGAGTATTTAGACATTGTAAAATTCATATGCAAATGTCTGCCTCATTATTTGAAAAACTGATATTTTTGCACTTGATTGTAGTATTGCCTATGAAATGATTATTTACAAATCGGCAATTCCATAAATTGTGATAATTCCGTATTTAATTTTGAATTCTCATAAAAGTTCGTCTATTGATACTAGACTGTTATCATGATCGATTTCAAGAATGTCCTTCAAAACTGTTACCTTTCAGAAATTATTGTACAAAATGTTTAAATGGCTACCTAGAGATATTTCAATGGAAGTGATTGTTATTAAATTTCTTCAAGTGAATTCATGTTAATGTTTTCAATGATACTTCGCATATATGATATTGTTGCTTTCTGATATTTAAAGAGTTTCAGAGATAATTTGAGCATAAGTGGACCTGCAATGATCGTTAGGACCTATTCGGTTATGTCGGTAGGGACTATTTTGGACTCATCAGGGACTCCGGTGAGGTATGATCGGACCTGTAGGGATTGTTAGGACCTATCCGGTTACGTCGGTAGGGACTATTTGGACTCATCCGGGACGCCGGTGAGGTATGTTTGGTCCTGCAGAGATTATTTAGACCTATCTGGTAGGGGCTATTTGGACTCTTCTGGTACGCCGGTGAGGTATGTTTGGACCTGCAGGGGTTGTTTGGACCCATCAGAACGCTAGTGGGGTATATAGGTGACCTACTTGGGATGTCAGTGGGGTATTTTGTGAAATCCTTTGAATTATGCATCTCTGTTAAAATGTTTATATGCATTTCCATCATTTGGAGTATGTTTAACCGTGGATTTGTGAAAGTGCAATTGTTATCTATAAATGCTTTTGCTCGCAATTCTTCCTCAAGTTGATTTTTTTAACATACATTCT